TGCACAAAGAGTAGGTAATGTGCAGAGGCTCTGCCTGTCTGTATTTGATTTTTGTCGTCTTTAACCTTCCAAGCTGCAGCTCTGCTCTTTAACCAATTGGAATTTAAATGTGTTGTTCCAGTTGGGGTCTTCGCTGGAGATGGACTGTGACTCGTGCTCATTAAGGCTACAGGCGTCTGCTCAGATTATGTATTTCAGAAGCTTTTTCTCTGATGAACTGTGAAAAGCCAGGCTTGAGCCGAGGATTGCAAAAGATAAAATAATAGCCCCTCATCCCTGCGTCTGGCAGACTTAATGCAGTTACTCTCAGATCTTTTTAAAAACTTTGAGACAGCCAATTTGTTCACAGTCAATAAGATAGCCCTCTGAGCACAACCCGTTATGTTTCCTTTATCAGTCGTTTCCTAAATTATTCACAAAGCTTTTTACACTCCAAAAATCTCTAATCTGCGAATTCAGCATTTCTGAGATAATAAGGTTTAATAGGCATAAGTGGCATTGATAAACTGTTTATATGCAGCGTGATTAGAAAACATAGATCTTCTTAAGGAGGGGGGGCGGGGAAAGCATGAAAGGATAAATACTCCCCGAATTTAAGCTAAATTAGCTTGCCCACTCACCTCTTTGTGAATTTGCATTTAAGAGCAGAACAGAACTTTTTAAAGCTGCCTGGATAATACCTACTTCTTCTGGGAGAAGATGACTGAATTATCAAGAAATTCCATTCAGTGACTTTTCTAATGTGTAAATATTTGCTAAAAGTTAATAGAGCAGAACTAAAGAGTCGTGGCTTTTTCTTTCTAAAGTAGTCATACATGTCCAGCTAAGATTTTTTCAGATGTTTTTATAGCTCACCTCTTCCATATTACAGTGTGCACAGAATGAATAGAGGTTCATCAGTCTCAGCTAGGTACCCACCAAAAACCCAGAATGTTATCAAGGAATTACCAAGAAGTTATTAATTTTAATGTGATCAGATATATAGTAAAATGAAGAAAAAACTTGACAGAAAAGTAACTTGTATGCAAAACTGTCTCATAGTTCTGCTACTTTTGTTTTAGCTGTGCTATAGAGCAGTTCTCTTGCCAGAGCATTATTTTGGAAGACCATTAAGGGCAGTTTACTTCGTTTCCTTGAATGGGAAGTGCCCTCTTCAAGGCTACAAGCCCCGAGCAGTGCTGACAGGCTCAGGTAACGTTACTTTCATCTTTTGCAGGTTTGGATTTTCTGACTCTACTGGGAAAGGGAGGTTAAATGCAGATTGGTTGGTCTGTCTTGGTTTAAACTACACCACAGCAGAAGCAAAATACCACTGGACTTCACTTGTGAGCATGTTTTGCTAAGGGGCCTTAAGAGTCTGTCTTCTTGGCCCAGAAAAGCTACCTGGAAGCCAGGAAGGTGGCTGTTACGGTGGTGGAAGAAGACTTTGTTCGTTGATAGCTGAATCTTCCTAGGCAGAACTCTTGTCTCAAAGATGCAGTGCACCCTATGTCTGTCGAGGCATCTGTAAAGGCATAAAGATGATGCGTGTTTAGGGAGCTGGATTCTTCGGATGGGGAGAGAGAGTGTCTCCATGCAGAGTACTCAGCACTGCCCAGGGCAGAGGAAAGAGCACTTGACAGATAAACCAGATCCTTTCCTCTTCACAGGATATATCTGTGCTTCTCAGTGCAGCTCCGTGTTAGAGACACCCAGGCTAGAACTAGCGGAACTGATGGAGATGCTAATTCAGGTCCCAAAAGCAGTATTGCTGTGCTGGCCGGTTTAAAGGCTGCACCAGACAGCACTGTTCAAAACAGCACCTTCGTGGCTGTGCTTCTGGTCAGAGCTCTCTACACACACCTGTAGTCCCTAGCGTAGGCAGGCCCTTAGACTGCTCTTGTTCTCAGAGATGCAGTGAACTCAATGGGAATACGAGGAACAGATCTAAAAACCTGAAAAGTAGTAGTTACTGGTAAACAAGTGGCATTTCATTAGCCACAGTAATTCCAAAGCTCCAAACCAGCATGTTAACTGCAAATTCACCCAAAATCTGTGCGGGATACGTGGGCGGTTGTTGTATAGAAAGGATCATAAAACCAGATAAATTTGTTTTGTTTCAGACTGTCCTAAAGCTGGCCATCAGATCCCATCTGACTTTTGGCAAAATATTTTTTCTTCAGCAATCTGGTTAATCTATTTGGATTTATGGAGGCTTGTCATTCAAGGCCTAGAAGATGCTATCCTAAATGGATAACCTTAACTTTTCAAAGTTTTGAAAAGAAGTGGATGTATAATTCACTTCTTTCATTTTTCTTCCCTTTTAATAAGATGTAGATTACAAAGAGAAGGGACTGTGCTGCTGCAGAATGATCCCATGGTAACTAATTAGGTCCATCAGGTCTGCAAAGGCATCCTGTTCTCAGTCTTACGCCAGTGTGCTGTAACCAGTGAGCCAAGTTAAAGAAAAGTCTTCTGGTAATTTACTGGCTTGTCATAATATATTTACCTTTCTTGCACTGAAGAATTGCAGGTAGTGGTATTCATCCATGGATCATCCCTTGCAAATAAACTTGTTGATGTTTGCATAAAAATGATCCACTTGTCACTATACTCCCTACACTGGTCCTTGTCCCTGATATGTGACATGAATTCATTTCTCAGCTGTTGAATTTAGGGAGTGTATTAAAGCAGCCACAGCAATATGTGATGAGCTGTAATTAAAATTACTAATGCATGTAAATTCCTTTCCTCCCTCTTACTTTGCTTTCCATTCTTCATGCAGATTTTGTTCACTTTGCTGAGTGAGCCGGAGACGTAGTGTTGACTGGTAACAATGATTTCTGCTTTCTCTCCAGCACAGTTGCATGCGGAAATAAATTTAATAAGGATCCTTGCTGAGGTGTGACACTAGGTATCAAGAAAACTATGTAGCTTGCAGCTGGCTTGCAAAGCTCTGGTCTGTGGTGGTAGTGGCAACATTGGTAAAACAGGTCTATTTAAGAGTGGTAGTCTTCATAGTCAGCAGCAGGACCAATAATCATATTATCTTAGTTCCGGTGCAGTCTGTCTTCCCCATCTCATCCCTTCTCACTAAAAAATCTAAGATTTAAAATGGAGATATTTAAATGATTAGCTGTTTTACATTGTATTATCTTACCTAACCAATGCATACGTTATTTTTAGTGATGCTGGAAAATGTGGTTCAGTGTTTAACCATGGAAGTGAGCTACCAATATCAAATATTGAGAGAAGTACCCAAAGTATCTTGATGCAGAACAGTGGGTGCTTGAGAAAAGGTCTTCTATTATGCCAGACACAGTCGGTGTATATTTCATTATTTTGTTACCGGAGGAATTTGTAAGTGGCTCAGTTGCAATTCTGAGTCACCAAAAAGCGAATTTAGGTGATAGGCAAAAGAAAGGGAAATCATGTGTTAAGATTTACTGTCCCAGCATTCTGCGGTAGGAAATGAAGAATTTGGATGGATAGTCCTCTTGTAATTGTGTGGACTTTGGAGGTCAAGGGATTGGGTTTGTTTTCTTTGCTTTTTTACTCAGCCTCTCATTTTTCTTGAGGTGGATGAATGTCTTGTATCAGAATAGTATTTTTCTTTTTGAGGTTAATAGGAATTCTCCCCCCAAAAGAGAAGACAGTACTTGAAGGCTGTATGACCTTGTGAACAGGGGGCTGGAACCTGGGTCTGTGGTGTTGGCACTGGCCTCAAGGGCAGCAGAGTCATATCAATGTGTTTATGCCATTTTGCTTATCTGATCCTCCTCCCTCCTTTGCATTTTGTTGCCTTTTATTGTGTTTTCTTATAAGATATGCATGCAGTTCAGTGCTGTCCAATGCTGCATTCAGATGCTGTCCAAAGTCATTATTCCATTACCTTCCTGCTTCTCTAGGCCAAGGGCCTGGGTGGGAATTCCTTCTCCTGTATCATGACTCCGAACAAATCCAACTGTAACTTCTCTTACCTCGGTAACTTTGCTGATCCTCAGTGCCTCCTGTAAATAAAACATATACTATATGCTATCTGAAGTATCTCTTCTGATCTGGGCTTCTCATCTCTTCTCATCATCCCTCTAATACTGTGGCTTAGGGTTGTGCTTCTGCTCCTACTCCCTGCCACTCAGGTGTCATATCCAACCATTCCCTTCAGCATTTCCATCTCAAATGGAAGCTCGCTTGTGTGATCTTTCCTGGCCTCAGCCCAGCTCATATTTTCCTTGTCCTCATCTGGTTCTATCCTAACCTGGTTTTTTGTTTGGTTTGGGGCTTTTGTCTTGTTTTTACCATTCGCTTCTTTCACTGTGCTCCTTGCTTTTAGACTTTCACATCTCTTACTGGTATCACATCTACAGGGCTTACACTGCTGATTTTGCTGTTCCAGCATCCTTTCCTCTTATTAATTTTTTCCAGCAGCAGGTCTTCTGATATAAATATCCAAATAACCACCGCTTACTGAGCAGCTATCTATATTTTCTCCTATACTTATTTTGGACTGTTAGATCTGTGGAGCACAGGATGTAGCTGCTGCCTTTTTTGATATACTCCACGTAAACTTGGACTGCACTGCAAATTATCATTAAGAGTAAAGATCAGGCCCTTTACATATCCAGTTACAGTGTGCTTTGCGGGGTACAGCTGAGGTGCTGTGCTTACGCCTCGGAACTGGGTGTCTCACCTCTGGAAACAAAAACTTATGACTGACAGCTAGGGATGGGGGAGATGCTCCCACATGCCTCCTACTATGGTGTGTATTTTCCTCTTTCTCAGTTTGTCTCTCCCTAGTAGTGTATCTGCTGGTACTTACTGCAGGTGAGGATGGACTGAGTGGTGGTCAGCCAGTCTCTGGTGTACGTGCATATGCTTTTAATACGTTCATTTTCCACAGTCCGAAGAAAAATGGAAAACTTGCTTTTGTCACACAGTGCATTAGCAGAAAACACAGAGTGGGTTAAGGGCAGTTTTATATGGAAACAAATCTCAGGCTTCCTTTTCCTCTTGTCTTGCAGAGGCAGGCAGCGGCCAAGATTACGTGACCTCAGAAAACCAGCTGCTGTACTACCCCAGTATTACCTATGCTATCATTGGTAGCTCTGTCATTTTTGTGCTCGTGGTGGCCTTTCTTGCCTTGGTCCTGCATCACCAGCGGAAACGCAACAATCTCATGACGCTGCCGGTGCACCGGCTGCAGCACCCTGTCCTGCTGTCCCGGCTGGTGGTCCTCGATCACCCGCACCACTGCAGCGTCACCTACAATGTCAACAATGGGATCCAGTACATGTCCAGCCAGGCCTACCACCGGCCCGTGGACCTGGACTCCCCGCCGTCCTATTCAGAGGCTGTGTTCGACCAAAGGTATGTACAAGAGCTGACCCCGTGCTCACCAAATTTCCACGCTCCTGGTTGCAGCTCTGTTAATCGGCTCCCCATTTATCCTTGTTTCTGCTTTTGACAGAAGAACAACGTTGCAGTTCTGTCACGTGCATAGGGCCAAATTTGGGCAGATTTGAGCTCCCCCTGCACATGAAAAATTCATGGTCCTCGGGTCCCCTTACTGTTACTGGTATTAAAGGGATTTCAGGCAAATTTAAGTCATGCTCTCGTAGCGTGTGTTGTTGGTAGTAAAGATTTTGAGGATGGCAGGAGAACGCAAAGAAGTTTATCACTTATCTATTAGTGATATCCTGGGCCAGGCTGGAATCCAAACATGAAAACTGAATTTGGAGTTTTGACAAAAAACAGCTAAGTTGTAGATCATGCTATTTAAAAAAAATTTACCCTGGTCATGTGTGATAAGTATATAAAGGTGAGAGGTCTTCAGTTCTTGCCTAAAGAAATTTTATAGTCCTTCGGCTCTGCACTACTTTCCCTTTACCAATAGAAAAAAAAGAACAGGGCTCTCAAATGGAAAGTACTGTTCTCATTTTAAATAGCTGAAAGTGCTTTGAAGTTTTCTGGGTGGGTGTGGTTTGGGTTATGATATTTTTGTAGTTATGACACTGGTTTTATTTGTAAACAATTAATCTTTGTTTTAACCTCTGTCTGAAAAGTCCTTCCAAACAAAGCTCCTCAACTGACATCCTCTGTATATAAAAAGGGCATGGTATGAACTTTAGTGATCCAGATTGTTCACTGTCACCCTGTTGGTATTTTAGTACAAACTCTGGCATCTCAGAGTGATAGTATAATCATTTACATTCCCATACTCTGCTGCATTTGGCAGCAGTTCCCTTGTCTTAATGTTGACATTCATAATAATGCTATCTTCATTAGTAAGGTCAACTAAATGAGCAGCTGTCCAGATCGTAACCACTTCTCACCTGGGCTGATACAAAACATCAGCAATTTCAGAGCTAATTGCTCCCAGGACCGGTTATCAATCTGCTAAACCCCTCGGTTCCTTTACTTGTTTACTATCAGAACCAAAAACCAGTTTTCCTGAATCCAGTGCTCATCCTGTCTATGCCTACTTAGCAGTTGCTCTGCGTGTGACACCATGACAGCAAAAGTGATTTGTCATGTGGAGAATTCAGTTCATTATTTATTTGTAGACCATAAGCCATTAATCTCTGTCACTTAATGGAGTTTTCCTGAGAGCTTTCTTGTGTTCACATCATTACCTATAGGTGTAAATCCACTACTTTCCTCATTGCTTTTAAAGCACTTTCTCAAGTTGTGTAAATGTTATACAGGAAAAATTCTTGCCTCTTGAAGCTGAGATATGTTGGAAGTGCATACTGATGAAAATCGGAGTGTAGAGTGTTAAGCAGGATGTAACTGGCTGTTTTGCATCTGGACCAGAAACCTGGGTGCCCAGTGGTGGTATGTTTTGGAACAACCTGAATAATGTGGGCAGGTCTGTGTGAGATCTTCTGGTAGGTGTCACCATGGAAAAGCTATGAAATACTGTTTTTTTTTTTTTTTCATAACTGGAAAACAATGTACTTTCTTCTGTACCACCGTTTTCAGTAACCTCTTACTATGTTGTGTATCTTACAGCAGACCACCTTGGTTTGACCTTCCTCCACCGCCTTATTGTTCTGAATCTGAATCCACGAATCAGCCAGACCTTCCTCCTTACCGGTCTCGGACGGGAAGCTTGGTGAGCACAGACACCCCCGTGGCAGGGAGCCCTCTGGGCACAGCCAGCAGTTGGACAAGAGACATCCATGACGGCATGGATGGCCACAGAACTCTTCTCGAGAGGACAGCAAATCAAAGCGATTCTCTGGTCAACCACATTGCTGAAAGAGAAGCGTAACTGTTCTCGTACTTGGGCTGGGCAGAAAGGCATTTACTTTTTCAGGTCTCTCTGGGTTAATCTGCTGTGGCTGATAGGTTTCAGCACATGGGCCTGAATGATGATTTGAATCCACACTAAGTTAGTGTCCTAATTCAGCATTTTGGGCTCATCAAAGACAGAGCTGTGAGAACTGAACCTAGAGTCACACCAGCTCTCCACAATATTTCTGCAAGCAAGTTCTGGTTCAGGCTAGTCAGAGAAACATCAGTGCTGTGTCAAAGAACTGATGTGATGTATTTCTTGGACTATTTACTGTATATGAATGTATATATGTGCATGTATAGTATATACATATGTTGCACACAAGAACTAGGCGAGAAGGACTCTTGTTTTCAGACTGCCTCCCATCCTGTCGACACGTGAGCTGTTTCTCCTACTGCCTGGTGCCAGCTCATGGTCATTGAAGCACAGGAGTGGCACTCATTCTGCTTGGAGGTCTGGCGCCCAGTGCTAGCCCACTGGTAGTGCTCTAATTGCAGAAAATGGCCTACTTGACCCTTCTCTTCATGGCCTGGAACATTCTCACTGTGAATGTAATTTTCAAAGTTTAAGCTTGTGAGGATGCAACAACTCTCCAACTGAGCAAATGAGGATTTTTTTTTTTTTTTTTTTTTTCCCAGATGCTGATATCTAGGCCAAATTTACATGGGTTTTCTCAGGAACATCACAAAGGTTGTCTTATCTGTCAGGCTGAGTACAGAGGCACTGAAGTTTCTCAACAAACCAGCGCAAGACTTCTTTTCAATCACGACAAAACAACATTACCCCATGTGTTCCTTAAAAAAAAAAAAAACAAACAGAAAAACCCCAGACTGTTTCAGCTAAATCTTGAACACCAAAACCAGCCTGAGGCAAACACTGATCACAGAAAGCTTTTATGTGAATGATTAGTTTGTTATATTCGTAAAATAACTGAAAGCAGGTCACACAGTGAAAGGGGTTGGGCTTGTCAGCCCTGTCTGTAGTGTGTATACATACATGCATGGATGCACACATTTAATGCTATGTGCGTGCATGTAAGTAGTGTTTTGCATAGGTTTAGTTCCACTGCACCAGTAGAACTCTAAAATGTCAAAGTTTCATTCAAGTTTGAAGTTCCACTTTCAAACCATTCTCATGGGTTTTTAATGGAGTTTGCCATTATTCATGGTCATTTGGTTGTAATGCTCACTTCCAGAATTATTTGTGTCTGTTTTGTGTGAAAGCATCTCAGAGGTAAAGGTTTTCAGAGTGCCAAGAGGGAAGGTAAGCTGTGAATTTAAGTGCCACTGCAGTGCTGTGCTTGTGCTCAGTATACAGGAAACAATGTAGTGTCATTCCCTGTCCAGAGTGAAACTGGCCTTGAAAAATTATTTGATTTGTCTATCAGACATATTTCCCACTCGTCCTTCCATGTAATGAACAGTGTCATTAAACAGACTTTGCTAATTAATAGAAATGAAGGAAGCAGACTGCTCACACCCTCTGCTTTCTTCCTCCCCATCTTTCTAAGGTAACTTCTTTCACCCAAAGGTTTCATGTTCAGATCCCAGGAATTTTTAAGCTGGAGTGTAGGTAGGTGAACAACTTGAGTCCAGTCTCAGTTCTGACACATACCCTGAATTTTTTTGGTGGTATTTTTTTTTCATTTCCAGCTTTGGAGTCTACTGCCATGCAGGAGCCAGATGAATTTACAAGCAGAGGTCATGCCAGGGCTGAGGTTGACACGGTGGGAGCACTGGAGAACTCTGATGGTGATGGGCTTGCCTGCCTTTGGAAGCAGATTAGTTGCGGCCCCTCACCTCAGGCTTAGGCAGCCTGTCTTGAAGGGTGTTGGTGAAGATGCTCCCAGGTCCTCATAAAGCGATGTACAAGGTTGGGTCAGTTTTCATCCTTGTTGGGAGATCAAACAGTGTAATTATGCTGTCCTTCACAAAGCGGGACTTGGCTAATTAATGAACCCGTCCGACTTGATAGGCAGACTGTTGTCATGGTCACATAGCAGACAGTTATTCTTTATTTTACAGGTAGGTTAAACTCAGGTACATAGCTGAGTTAATAGTAAAGGTGGGTGCAGGGGTGTCTCTTGTGGGCACCAGGCCCTGTTGTCCCTCTTGCCTTTCATTAAGGTTCTGCTCGGCCTCTGTAAGAGCTATGTAATGGTGTATCGAAATTAGCCTTAACATTTTTTTGTTGCACTTTTTAAAGCTTGAATTTTAAAACATACTATTGAAGAGTTTGCAGTAGTTTCATTAGAGCTAGACATCTTTTTTAATTTTAAAGTTGCCTAAGGCTGTATTAGTGTAACAAAATCATTGTGTCCAGTCTAACTTACATGGCACGTATTCCTCACGGCAGCCTTGCACAGGGGACTGCATTTCACCACATGTATCCTAAGACACCAGGATGTGTGCAAACCAAATATTGTTTGCCTGTGGCATCAGAAAAATATTGCCTTACATTGCTAAGAAGTAGGAAAAGAGTGGACATAGCCTGCTTCTTCTGCCTTCTGTGTCAGTCACTGTCATATATGTACATATATATATATATATTAAAAAAATACTCTTTCAGGTTGTATATATTCGTATAACTTTTCCATTAAGATAATCCATTTGGACTTTACAAAAAAAAAAAAAAAAAAAAAAAAAAGAAGGAAAAAACATTCTAGATGGTGTGATGTTTTCCCTTCCAGCTAAGGGTGTATTTATCTTTGTATAGGAATCTTTTACTTTTTGAGAACACGAGTTACAAAAGAAGATTGTGCCTTTCGGATTGATTTGGGAGGCTGTTAACTGCATTTCTGGGTGTTGTTACATATCATTGTCTAGAGATCCAAAAAGATAAACAAGTGTTGTCTTCCTCTTTGTTATGGGGACCCCTGAAATTTGAGGGGTACGAAAGTTAAGTATCTTGTTCCAAAAGGGCATTCTAAAACTTTACGGGGGTTTTCATCTTATTCCAGTTTTCTGGTTTGTAGATTTGCTAACTGGTTTCTTTGGAAATTGCTGTAGTATCACACAGAAATCGTTTGTAACGTGCCACTTCTAGTAGTGTTAATACAGCATTATACTGCATTATTCAGTGGCATCTTTGGGAAAGCATGGTAGCAACAACTGCGCTGAGTAAATTAAATATTTTATTGAAAATCCTGAACCTTGTAAGGCTGAAGTTAAATGTTCACGAAATACCGTGTGGAAGGATTTCTTTATAGCAGCCGGTAAAATTGGGATTGATCATTCTATTGTTTGCAATTGCTCTTAACCTTTTAGTTTGAAGTTAGTCCTCCAGGAGCTTTCCTTTGTACGCAATGTTTGAACAAATGGATGTTATTTCAAAGACCTATTCTTACAAAAGTAAAACCAATTAAAGTTTTCTTCCAGAGCCAAATTCTGATTCCACATCTGTATTGAACAGTGACCACTGTAATGAGTAGTTCTCCTCAGTACAGGTATTAATATATTTGATTCTAACAAAACAATTTGAAGAAATTACTACTTGAGGTAAATGAAGGAATGCGGATTAGCCTGTTGGAGATAAGATTTGGGTTATTTAAAAATAAACAAATAAATCAATTTCAGGAGTTTTGAGTGTCTCTAACCTCTGCTGAAGTCAGAGTGCTGTGTATTTAAAATTAGACCATGAGTGAATCTGCTTGATAATAATCTGAAGTTCCTTGTAAGGCAAATTACAATTTACCTCTCTGATATTGTGCTAATGGAAAACTGGCAGTAACACTTTTAAAAGAGAGCCTGTGAGTAATTTTCTCGGCTCTTGTCTACAGTGACATACATGACAACACTGACTGCAGTGCGATTTTTAAATAACTCTGCATTCATTCTTCCTCTCCTTTTAAGTCAAATCAGTTTTATTTACACCACTTCACTTTGATACAGCTAATAGGGCCCTCTGTGATAGATTTAGAAATTGGGTGGAGGAAAGAGATGGTGACTCTCATTTTAATTAGTGCTGCAGCTTGTTAATCTTGTGTGTTTTACTTTATAGACATCTTGGGAGAGACAAATGGTTTCAGTAGATAAGCAAAACTATTAACGATGAAAAGGATAGAGGGACACTGATTCTGAATTTAATTTTTAATGAATATTTTAAATTGTGTAAATGAAGGAAGAATTTAATTCTGTATTTTTAATGTGGTGATCAGATGGCAAGTACTGTTTTTAACTGTTGCTTATTGGAAGCTACTTTACATATAATGCCTGGAACTAAGATGGTAAGACAGGTGCTCTTCTTGCAGTTCATACTAGATCTGAAGTATTTTTTATTAACACAAGGCTGTATTGCACCCATGGACTACAATATGAACTGCAGAAAGAATTTCAATACCGTGCTGGATTCTATCTGAATGTACTCCAGTACAGGACTGTGGCCTTTTTTTTTTTTTTTTTTTTTTTCCCCCAATTTGAGGGGTTTTGTCGACTTGAAATGCAGATGTTACATAAGAGCTTTAAGGGAGGTTGTATGTTGAAACCCAGCCTTGTCTTAAACTTTTGTAAACTGGAAATCTTCAAAAATGTATTCCATTTTCCTGAATAAAGTTGGTGTTTTAATACTGTTCACAAGTGAGGCTGTCCCCTGTCTCATTCAGTGTCAGTTGTTTTAGTTTTATAGCCTCCCACATGAGGCTTCTTCCAACATCTTTTGCATTCAGTGATAAGTTCAGATTAAATCTTTGTGAGGCTTAAGCGTATTTTTGAAAGGGAGTGATACTGGAAACCCACAGGTGTGTGTAAAAATACACCAATGCATATGTCTCCGTATTTATACAAATGAAAGTTGCTTAATTTCGTCGTTTTTTGCTCTCATTTTGCCTTGCTGTTTGTACCATCAAAGACGAGGCGTTCGAAGCGGCCGTGTTCTGTTGTTTGCTTTGTGAGTAGAGCTCTGGCGGCTTCGCTGGGGACCGGTGCTCCGCGGGGATTGAGGCATTAACGGGTTTGCTGTCGGGGCTGAGGGGCCGGTGGCGTTACCTTCTGCCTCCCCCCCCTTCCCAGCACCACGTCCCGTCCCTGCTTTTCTGTAGGCCGGTGGGTCCACGGGCCGGGCACCCGAGCCAGGTTCCAGCGGCCCAGGTTCCAGCGGCCGTGCCCAGAGGCCTCGTGGTGTCAGGGCCCCGTCCCCAGCCCCCCTGCCGCGACCAGGGAGCCAGCCAGCCCCCCTTCACATCGGCCCGAGCTGCTCTCCGCCTCGAGGCACTTCACTGGGGACAGGCCTGCCGCTCAAAGGGCCAGCCTTAAGAAGTATCCCTTACGTTATTAAGTTCTTTTCGCAGGCTAAGGTGAAACAGCTTCGAATGTTGCATCTAAACATTTCAATCTGTAAGTATACCGAGGCTGACGTACTTGACTTCCACGACTCGTCTCCACTCGCTACCTTCACAAAGGCAAGCCAGTTTTAGCGTTATCCTGGTTAATTAAGTCACGTGCTCTCACCGAATTTCTCAGACGGTCACCTGCGCTGGACGCTGGCAAACTGCCCCAAAATGAATAGCTGCTGATCCAGAATTCCCACCGGGGAGGTGGAGCTGTTGAGGCCACCGCGGTGGGCTCTCGGGGGGCAGGGAGTGCTGGCATCGCAGAGCTGGCTCCTTCAGCTGTGTCCCGGCAAGAGCCGTGCTTGAGAAGTGTTGGTTCAGAAGACAGGCACGAAAATAAATAGCATACTCTCCAGCTAACCTCCTTGATGAATCATTTTTATTCCCTCTGCTTCAATTTGTTTAAAGATGTTAATTTTTACACCTTAAAAAGTAAGTATGCCGTTTATTTCAGCAGTGATTTCTGAGTGCGGCATCTTCCCTTGTTGATTTGCAAGCAGTCTCCGAATCATTCAGCCTCAGCTATCTCTTGGTGAGAGAGCTAAGCAGCTTTTCACTTTTTGGGGAGCTGTAGTCCAAAATTATGTGCTGTTATTAATTGAAGTAAAGGCATCTTCCTGCAGAAATCCACAGCGCTTTTTTGTTTTTCAAAGCAAAGTTGACGGTATGCCTATTGCATAAAGCGCTTTGGAAAAGTAGTGGTTTGATGTCTCTGGGGAATTAAATTTTCTGTTTATCTGCCAAACACTGTGCATAGATAAACTGAAATGTGATTCTCTGCTTCCCAAAATCCCAACAGTGTTCCTTGCAGCCTTACTGAGGGGACCACTGCAGATGAAAGGGTAGAGCAGTTCTGCGGCTGCTCTGGTCCTGAGCATTCCTGCAGAGAGGGGGTCAGAAGCGCCGTTGTTTTGGTGCTAGATACCATGCAGAAAACCCTTCTCCTCACTGAGAACTGATTTGGGACCATCACATGTAGAATATGCTTCCCAACAGCCACTGATGCAGGTAAGTACTTTTATTTTTTTTAATTTTTTTTTTTTTTGGTAGTAGCTCTCACCTAAGGTTAATTCCTACCAGTTACCCTGAGGTAAAAAATTTAATAATATCTCATTACTTGATACCACAGCTTGTAACTCCTTCAAATTTAAACCATGGTCATTTCTCAGCACAAAAGTACAAAAGCCTTCATCTGCATAAGAACAAGAGGAGCAATAGCTCAGCTTGACCCAGGCCAGCTTACCTCCAGAGGAGTGCCCTGGCAGGGTCACTTTGAATTAATGATCTGTTGCATTTGTTTGGAATACCGGCTATTTCCTTGACAAATGGGAGTCGTGTTGCAGCAAAGTGATGAAGAAATATGATGTTTTATTTGACAGAGTAGATTTTTTTTCTCATTTGTTTGTGACAGAGTTATCTGCTCTTTGCCCAACACTGCACCCAAAGTAGCACCAACTTGCAGAGGTGCAGGGGAAGGGGAAGGCAGTAAGGTTGGCTGTTTGATACAGATCTAGCCCCTTTGGAGGTTTCTTAAGTGTTCCAGCTGTTATACCTGCATAAGAAATATTTAAATGCTGCACAATAAGTGTGTTTGCAGACTAAGGAAACATGGTTGATATTTGGCTGCTCTTTTGCTAGTTTCTGTTTACTCAAATACAATGCAAAGTCAAGAGCAAAAATTCTTCATGCATCTGTTGCTGTATTTATTGTTCTCCCTTGGCAGTCTGCGCAGAGCAGAGCAGAGCACTTAGCAGAACCAATGAATTATCCAAACTGGCTTTGGAGAGGGCTTAAGAAATAAGGGAGTTGGCTTAAATATCCGCTTTCAAGGTGTCATGTTAGATATGGTGGTTAAGGCATGGATTGCATAAGATAAAATCACACCTGAGCTGCTACAGGGGAAAAAAAATCAACCCTGTGCGTCTGAGAGATGCAGCAGATCTTCATGAGCAAAGGCAGTCTGGGAGCTGGCTGCAGGTCAGGGTCAGAAATTCCTGTGCTGGGAACCCAGCTGGAGCTGGCGCTGGTGCAGCACTCGCATTGAAAGCAATGGCTGTTACGGCTTTGGGAGCATGAGTTGGTCTGTCTGGTATCTGATACCTGAAATATGTGAAAATCATTCTAGACTGATTGTCACCTTCCTTCAGGAAGCTGGACAGAAATCCTCTGGCTGCTTTGCTGAAGTCATGTTGGTCAAGCAACTTATCACTCTTGATACTCTCTCTCCCTTTTTATCAGTTGCAGGGACAGGAGGAAGGTTTGCACGGGTTTTTAAATGTGGGCACCTGAGACAGGGAAAGACATCATGATGAGTTTCAGGAATAACAGAACCTGCATCTTCCAAGATCCAGCCTCCTGACCACTGGGTAGTGCTGTCTTATGCATCCATTGGTAATCTTTTAAATTCTTTCAATTTAACAGAAGATTTTTCCAGATCTAACTAAAAAAAGGAAAATAAGAGGCAAGTCTGGACCTGCAGGTCACTCTTTCAAGTTCTCTTCCTTTCTGCAAAAATTCAGACAATGATCAAAAACCAGAAACCAAATATTTGAATTCCGTATTTTCTTCTAACCTCTAGGTACTTGTGTTTGCCGTATTTATATTTGCAGGTTTATTGAAGCAGTTATTCTCTATAGCTCTTTGTGCGGAGGAGGATTCTACTCCAGAATAAGTTTCCAGGCTGGAACTTAAACTAGAATAGGTATTTCTGTAGGTTTCCACAGATTAACAAGTGTGTGGACTATGAATTGGCTCCCAGAAGGGAGCTGGGGTGTACTGGAAGTGCCTTGCCATAAATAATGCTGGTTTAAAGATGCAAACTGTAATTGCAGTGTGTGGAGTTTAGGGGCACAGATTCCTTACAGGAGCTGTAGGAACAGTTTGTCAGATGGCCAGCACCAACGTTTTTTGCTTCATGCAATTGGGAAAGGACAGGGAGAAAGTGGGAGGGAGAAATATCATTTTGACCCAGAGCATATAGGTAGCCCAAAGTGATCCAAGGAACTACAGAGAGAAGAGAGCGGTCTGGCTGCCTTTTATGCTGGCATTTGAAAAATGAGCTCAAGATAGCGCTTTGAAGGGTGGCTTGGTAATATTATTATTAAAAAAAAAAAAAATCCTCACTTTTTTTCCGTGATATCAGTGGGGGGAAAGTGTCAGGGAGAGAGTGGTTTGAAATTATTTTTGGATGTTGTGGGGTGTTTTTCTTCTTTGAAAACTGTAGGTGAAGTTAATTATGGAATGGCAGCAGTGTCTGATCTGAAGCGGACGCTTTCATCTCACCTCCTGCTTTTAAAATAGCTGCACTCTTATCTCTGCTCTGAGAGAGGGGGTGCAGGGGGGGAGAGCACCGGGGTGCTCTCTCAGCCTGGCAGTCGCCAAATGAATGAAATGCCTTGTGAGATCCGGGGCCATTAAAGACTGCCAGCAAAGAATCAGCAAGACTTTAGGAGCTAATTTCCCATGGTGAAGATGACCAGAGGAAAAAAAAAAAGAAAAAAAAGCCATGATCTGCAAAAGACAAATGAAAAACATAAAAAATTAATGAGCCCAATTACTTCAATACTGTCCAAAATATGTTCTGTTTAAAAGAAAGTGGAAGCAGACAAGAACTTGGAGATGTGATGAGTGTTTCCCCTAATCCCCACTGACAGCCTCAGTCACACAAACACTGACATTAACCCCCTTCCCTTCGTTAACCACGCCTAAGTTGCAACTATTAATCATTATTAAGTGCCTGCCACTATGCTGATAGCATTTTTTTTTTGTATTAATCTGATAAAGCAAGCCGAGGAGCTCCATTTCCAGCAGTGGCTAGGCGCAGGGTAGAGAAGCCCTGTCAGGGGAAGGCAGGATGTGATGCCAAGGCACAGGACTGACTGCAAAATCCCAGCAGGATGCGGCCCTGGCTGGGGAGGGGGAGGGAGGCAGGGTGCTGGACACCTTGAGAGCATTGCTGCCAGCTAATTGCATTAAGGCAGAACCCTTGATATTTTTCTCCATGCGTGGTGAGATCCCAGCTCGCGTGAGGGCTGGAATCAGTACTGCTGTGTCAGGGGGGCCTCTGTTACACTGCTGGGAAAATAACAATAATAAAATAATAATAATAGGTTAATGCTGCTGCGTGGCATGCTGGGCATACCCGTGGCTTCAGGGGGTACCTGTTATTTCTCAGTGACACGGAACTCGCCTGCACAGACACACCTCAGGGTTTCACGTCCTTTTGAAGAAACGGGCTTTTATT